ATTAGGACATATGGTAATGGAGACTAATCAATAGTATGTCCAAGAGTGAGATAAGTTGTTTAAATAGGGCATAACCCCTAAAAATTAGGGTTTCCCCCTCAACCACGTACGCCATGCGTACTCCTACGTACGCCCCGCATACATAGGTGAACCCGCGATCAGGAAATGAGCTAGTACGCTAAGCGTACCCAGAGTACACCCCGCGTACTAGCTAGGGATTAAAATGAGATGAAATCAGCATTAAGGGGGGTTAACGGAAATATACCAAATTCTTGAATGTTACAATTTTAATATGGATAAAGAAGATGATGAATTGGAATGTTTTGAACAACCTCTCAATGTTGAAACGAACCAAGAAGAAACAAGAGCGAGTGAGAGTAGTGACCAAAAATTAAATGAAGGAGCTGAAAGCAATGTAGAGAAGCCGAGAGTTGTAGAAACAACTAGAACACCTGGTCCTACAAAAGCATTTGGCTCCACAAAAAATCACGATGAAGAACATTCAGATAACACGAGGGAAAAGCAAACCAAATCTCCACCGAAAAGATTTGATGACTTTGTTGTAAAGTTGTCTCCCTCGATAGGCCATGCACGTCCTACTAGCCATCAAGCTTCTTTGACGGTAGACTCACTTACTAATCATATTTCTTATGAAATCTCCACCGAAACGATTTGATGACTTTGTTGTAAAGTTGCCTCCCTCGATAGACCATGCATGTCCTACTAGCCATCAAGCTTCTTTGACGGTACACTCACTTACTAATTATATTTCTTATGATAAGTTTACTAACATTCACTAAGCCTTTCTTGCTACCATCAACTCAAATGATGAACCAAAGTCCTTTAAATAGGGCAACTGGCTATTCAAAACGAAAATTGGATAACAACAATGAAAAATAAGATTAAAGCACTTGAAGACAATGGTACATGGACCCTTGAAAAATTGTCAAAAGAAAAACGCGTCATTGGATCAAAGCGGGTATATAAGATAAAATACAAGCCATACAGTAAAATCGAAAGGTACAAAGTGCGACTTGCCGCAAAGGGTTTTACGCATACGAAAGGTGTTAATTATCATGACACGTTTACACCGGTTGCAAAGTTGGTAACTGTTAGAACCTTGCTCACTAATACTATTGCTACAACGAAAGATTGTATTGTATACCAACTAGATGTCAACAATGTGTTTCTTCATGGAGACCTTCAGGAAGAGGTCTATATAAAGATTTCAGATGGTTTTTCGAACAAAGAATACACATGAGTATGCAGGTTGTGGAAATCACTATATGGTCTTCTTCAAAAATCATGAAACCGGTACCAAAAGTTCACAATGGCGCTTACAAGTCTTGGTTTTTTCATTCAAAGCCTTTCGAAATGAACTGTTATTTCGTTCGAGAAAGAATGGTATGAGAAGAGATTAAGACTTGTAACGTTGACATAAAGGCACACATTGCATCTCTTTACCAAAACTTTGGGCAATGATCGCTTACGTTTTTTACTCGAAAAGTTGGGCATTTGAGATCTACATGGAGTAAAAGAAATATTTATTATTAGTCTTTATCTTCTATTAGGCTAGTCTTGATCTTTAGTTTGAACTTTCCTTGTTCCCTAAGTTTTTAGTCTCCTGGTGACCAGGAGATTAGTTTTCTGTAACCTATTTATTCCCGTTATAGGTTGAATGAAAGTAAGTATTGAATTGTTAATTTCTTCGGTATGGGGCGTAAGCACACACAAAATTCGATCCCCCATCCTCTACTACTATCTTGATCATCATGATCCTATTAAAACATCTTCCAACTTCTCTCACGTTCATTTTATTTTGCTTATAGATGTCCGTTAATTCAAGTAACAACAAGATGAGGTTAGATCTAAGCTTTGTTTTTTGGCCAAAAAGTACCTTAAATTAAGTAAGAGGTTTCATAAAATTTTAAAATTAACTGAAACATAAGTAGTCGAATGCTATTAATTTGTATAAGAAATATTTAAAGCAAAAACAAAATTGTACAGGAAATAAATTCTAAATATACAAAAACGCCTCTCTCATGTTCGTTGGTAAGAGAAAAGTGTGGTGGTACTTTGATATCAATTTTGGTGAGGTTGTTGAGGATGTTTGCATCTCAAGAGTAGTGGGTGAAGTTGTCTATGTCGCCGTTTTACGAAGTTTATTCCTTATTAGTTTAATTGCTTAATTGTTTAAACATTTATTCATTTTCACTGAGTTGTTTCTTTTAGAAAAAAATCATATACTAATTTCTTATTCATTTAAAAGGCAAAACATTTTTGAAAATAACGAGTTCATATTACGGGTGTTTATGTATACTTTTGGAAACTGATTATCTAAATTGGAAGTTGTTACTTTTAAACAAATATTAGAATATTATGTCTTTTATACAATAATCATAAAATGTTATTTAAAAAAAGACAATATTTTAATTATTTTTCAAAAAAAAAAAAATACCTTATGAAAATCTATCACTTAAAAAAAGAAAAAGAAAACGAATTTTTTATTTAAGTTATAGAAGAATGGCCTTACCCAAACAACATGTGAAAATGATATGTTTTCCTTAAAAACAACAATTTATTTCATTAGTTATTCAAATAATTCAAAATTATTAAATATTGAAACGACTACTCTTTTAATTGTTATATAATTTTAAAATTTAAGTATACGTACATTCAATTATTTCCATATTCCATAACCATCTATTTTAGTTAATTATCTAAAGGACATAGCTTCTTTTAGTTGACGTGGCAATTAGATTATCAAATTTAGTTTATTCTTTAATTTAAGGATTTCTTTTAGTAGTTCAAAAAAAAAAAATCATTGATTTTTAATCATAATTAAGCTGTCGCAAATTTGTATTTTCTGATTTTTAATTCAAACGAGGGACATATATTTGGTCCCCATATATTTTCCGGCGACCGGGACACATTTGAGCGGGAGCTGAGAGTGGAAAACAGCAAATTTGTCAGTCGGTGAGTACGTTCATGCTCACGCGCCCACCACCACCAAATTCATACCAACCTTCGTTACACCGACACTTGGTTGTTAACTTCTTTGCAGTCGTTAGAGCGTGTATACACCTTCCGCTTTACTCGAGTAAACCTTACTCGTACATTATTAAACGTCCTTCAACTACTCTGTTGTCACTCCTCCATGTTCCATGTTCATGCATACTACCACCTTCTAGTTTAGTCATATAATCACATGACTCCCTTATCTTCACATCTTTATTAGTTAACACCAAGTTAAAAAAGTAAATTAGGTATTTGGATAAAAAGTGGCAACTTCCCAATAATATAGCTCTTAATAACTTGTATTCTAAAGTTGTTTTTTGCAGTTAATAATTTAATATAATAGGTAATCAAAAAACAAAATATTATTATTATAATTATTATATACCATCTAACTTTTTTCATGATAGTACCATCTAACTTTTTTCATTATAATATTTGTATTCATGATACCAAAGGGCTTCTAGCCTATCAAGTCTCGTGAGAGACATAGGTGGAGTTTTAGGTGTTATATAGGAGTAGAATAGAATAGATTTGTTATTCCAAAAAAAAGTATTATGCTGTGGAGTTTTAGGTGTTATATAGGAGTAGAATAGAATAGATTTGTTGTTCCAAAAAAAAAGTATTATGCTTTAAATGCCGAGGCTTTATGTTCTCAAAATTAATTAGATCATATGTTTAATTAGGTCTGTTTCCTAGCCATAAATGATTTGATGTTTCTCACACAATCAAATTCAACTTTTATTATTATTATTATTATTAACCGCAAACGGTATATTAAAAGACAAGGTAGCAAGAAGTAAGAAGTACAAAACAAACAAGAAAACAAAAAAGAAGAAAGTTGCATTCGATAGCTACAGTTATTTACAGAATTACAACACCAATTAATCATAATCAACCTTAGAGGGCTACGTTTCTTTTTCTTAGAGTTAATTCAAAGATGAGATAACACTTGTATCCCGTTTGTCAAAGTTGAGTGGTTCTTAGGACCATGAGAGTGCATTATATGATTGTGAAAGTTCCAGATAAACACCAACATTACAACTTTCGGGGCATGTTTAAGATGATCGTTGAGAGACAAAGTGTTTTTATATGAATTAAGTTAGGAATCAAGGGAACAAAAGTTGAAAGTGATTTCCACCGGAGCAAACTTATAATTTTCGTTATTAATGTTACATTTTAGATTCATTCGTGATTTTAAGATTAACTCTTTTTTTTTTGTCTGTTTACAGATACGGTTGTTGATTTGATCGATCTAATAATGTTTAATCACACATTTGGTTAAGGTTTTAATCCAAATCCTTTTTGTCAAAGAAAGGAGTTTGAAGGACCGAAACTAAAACATTGCTTTTGTTGAATTCTTGTTCGTTTGGTTACAAAAACAGTCCCTCGTCTTTTTAATTTTCATCTCTAACTCACAAACTCACATCACATCCTCTCTCTTCCCCTCTGCCCATAACCAAGTATCTCTTCCAGACAATATTTATTACTTCGAGTTCACACTTCACCCACTTTTGGTACGCTTGATTTCATGTAAGTTCTGAGAATCCTTGCAATTTTCTCCATGAGCTTCATTTTTTTTCGCTAATGGCATCCTTGATTCCTCTTATTCTTCTATTTTCGGTTGATCTACACAATTATACTTGTGTTTATTTATGGCATTTGATGGTTATATGGTGGTAAGGGCTTCTTTCGATTAATCGGGTTCCCTAGCTGGAGCTGTTGTTATTCTCATGGTTTTGGTCAAAATTTCGTTTTAATAGTTCATGAACTTCAGCAACAAGCTCAACTTAGAATTCACTATCTATAATCAATGGCGGCGTCATTAAGCCCCTTCCCATTCGGGTTGTAATCTATTGCATATTCGGTTTTGTTGTTAGCTAAACTTTTTTATACTTATGTGGTGTAGGTTAAAGGTTACTGTGATTCCATAGCTTTTTTCGGGCATTCACGCAACCTATTTGGTACAAGAGCAGAAATCAAAAATGGTATCGGGAATGAAGGCCAAAAACAGGAAAAGCCCATCTGTACAACTCGATTATGTAATCACTATTATAGAGATTAAACCATGGCCTCCATCTCAGTCATTAAGATCACTTCGTTCTGCTTTGATTCAGTGGGAACATGGTGACAAGAATTCAGGGACTACTAAAGCAGTTACCCCTTTACTTGTTCCTGGTGCTAGTGTTGGTGATGGTAAAATTGAATTCAATGAATCGTTTAAGCTTCACTTGACATTGATGAGAGATATGTCGATCAAGGCTGGGGACAGTGACACTTTCTTAAAGAACTGTGTGGAGTTGAATATGTATGAACCACGAAGGGACAAAATAGGGCAGTTGTTGGCGACTGCTGTTGTGGATTTTGCAGAGTATGGTGTTGTGAAAGATGGTTTGATTGTTAGTGTACCCATGAACTGCAAGAGGACTTTCAGTAATACGAGTCAGCCTATGCTTTTTCTAAAGATTCAAGCATTTGAGAAGAATAATCGTGTGAGATCTTCATCTGGGGATAGTTTAGTCAGAGAAGGATCAACGGAGATGAATGAAGAAACCGAGAGTGTCTCAATTACTGATGATGATGTTTCCTCCTCTAATGGGAGTTCAAACCCTCACAAAGAGGTACTTTATGTTGCTTCCTTTTTTCTATTGGCAATATATTCCCTCCATTCAAAACAAAGAGCAAGGAGATTCAGTTTTAATCTTGTGTTATATTCAGACTGAGCTTAAAACCCAAAATCAATATGAAATTTCTTAGAGGGTGTTTGGATTTGTGTTTTTGAAAGTGATTATTTTGACTTGAAGAATAAGAATAAGATAATTAGAAAATCAGTTGATCAAAGCTAGGTGTAGGTAGGTGTTGTGCATTTATCAGAAAAATCATTCTTCTTACAACTTTCTACTTGCTTCTACAAATCTGATTAGTTTGAGCCTAAACAATCAGAATTGTAATTTACCCAGACAATCGAAACTGGTTATTATAATTTCAAGTCTTAGTAATCAGTTTAAACACACATAAAGGAATTTTGAATTGCTTTAAAAAAGTGGAATGTATCACATTGATTTTACTGGTTAAATAACATGGTGGCAGTCAATTGCAGAAGGAACCTGAGGACAAATGTGGAAGCATGGATAGAGTAGTTAGCAATCAAGAAATGTTGGTTCAAGATAAAAGTAAAACCATTGCTGCTGAATCAGTGACACAAAAAGATGAAGAATTAAACACCAATATGAGGAGTGGTGTTGAAGTTTCTAAAGTGGATGATCAGACATCATCAAATCTAGATGAAAGTCAAAACATGGGGGATCTTGAGTCTAACATTTTAAGTTGTGATAGATTAAAAAAAGTGAAATCTGGAGGTTCCCTGTTGGATTCAGGAACTTGGAAGAGTAGTAGTAGGAAAGATGGTTTTCATGGTGGCAATGAAAGGAAAGATATCAACAGGTTACAACAATTACAGCGCAGGGTACAAAATCTTGAAAGTGAGCTTAAAGAAGCTGCTGCTATTGAAGTTGGTCTTTACTCAATAGTAGCAGAACACGCAAGTTCTATGAATAAAGTTCATGCGCCAGCTAGGCGTCTTTCTAGGCTATACCTTCATGCATACAAACAGATTTCACAAAGAGCAACTTCAGCAAAAAGTATTGTTTCCGGATTGATTTTGGTTGCAAAAGCTTGTGGAAACGATGTCCCAAGGTGGTGTACTTACTTTAATGAATTACCATGATGATGATGATGATGGAAATTATATATATAATTAATCTTGTTTATGTTTAGGTTGACTTTCTGGTTGTCAAACTGTGTGGTATTGAGAGCAATAATATATGATGCTTTCGAGCAAGATCACATGAGCAAAAAGAAGAAAGAATCTTGTAGAAACGAATGGGAGACGCCTTGTAAATTCACTTGTTCCATAGAAAAAGTTGAATCTTGGATCTTTTCACGAATCATCGAGTCAGTCTGGTGGCAGGTTTGTTGCATAATAATAGTACTATTAAATATTAGTTAATGACTTATCTTTTTTATTGTATAAGACTATAAGTATGTGGTTGCAGACACTTACTCCATATATGCAATCAACGGCTGCAAGGGCTATTGTTAGAATTGTGGATTCAGAATGTAGTAAAAAAACATCACGTGAGCAAGAACAAGCAAACTTCTCAATGGAGCTATGGAAGACTGCTTTCATGGATGCCTGTGAAAGGATTTGTCCTGTTCGAGCTGCTGGACATGATTGTGGTTGCTTGTCTGTGCTTTCTAGATTGGTAACTTTTCATCTATCTGATTACATGATATGTAATTTTTTTTAATAATTTGTTTTTTGGGTTGATAATGTTTTACTAGGTAATGGAAGAGTGCATGGGGAGATTAGATGTGGCTATGTTTAATGCTATTCTTCGGGAATCTGCTGATGAGGCTCCAACTGATCCTGTATCAGACCCAATCAGTGATGCAAGAGTTCTTCCTGTTTCATCAGGGAAACCAAGCTTTGGGGCTGGTGCACAACTCAAAAATGCAGTAAGTCTCTATCTCTATACATAAATTATGTCAACCAAAACTCTACTGATAATGTTGTTGTTTTGGCAATGTGCAGATTGGAAATTGGTCGAGGTGGCTGACTGATTTATTTGGTATTGATGATGACGATGATGATTCGTTTAAGTCTTTTCATCTCCTGAATGCATTGAGTGACCTGATGATGCTTCCTAAGGATATGCTGTTAGATAGCAGAATCAGAAAAGAGGTTTCTAAAATTGGGCTCTTTTCTTTTATAGTAGTAGTTTGTTTAGTTACTCACATTTGATTTTGATTTTGATTTTGATTTTTTTTTTGAAGGTATGTCCGAGTTTTGGTGCAGCATTAATAAAGGGGATACTTGATAGTTTTGTCCCAGATGAGTTTTGTCCAGATGCTATTCCTGAAGCTGTGTTAGAAGCCCTAGATTCAGAGGTGAGTAGAGTTACAGTATAATTATGTAACACAAACACAAGCCAACCAATGAAAGATATGTTTGTGTAATAACATATGGCATTGAGACTGAGTGGGTGTTTGTTTATAATTTATATATATGTTAAATAGGATTTGGTGGAGGGTGGTGAAGATTGTGTGAGCAGTGTCCCATGTGCAGCTGGTTCGGTTGTTTATCATCCACCATCTGCATCATCAATAATAAAATGTATTTTTGGTGGAACTAAAAAACACTTGAGTCGCAGTGGATCATCACTCTTGAGAAAGTCAAACACAAGTGATGATGAACTTGATGACCTCAGTTCCCCTTTCACTGCTATCAATATCATTGATGCTGCTCCTGCTCCAACAACACCTAGCCCTAGATGGAGATCAAATGATGGTAGCATTCGATATCAACTGCTTAAAGAGGTATGGATGAATAGTGACTGAATACTCATTCATACTAAAAAAAAAACTCCGCAATATTATTGTTTCTTGTAAATACTTACTTGCAAATAAGTCAAAGTGAGTGCTACTGACAATTTTTCATTTTTCTCTAATGTGCATCTTATTTGCAAATGTGTAATGTTCAATGCACTATTCCATTGTTGGCTTTTGGATGTAAAACTAAGCCAAGCTCATAAAATAGTGGCAAACCCCAACAAACCCATTGTCCATTTTTCTGGAAAAAGAAAAAACTATTTCTCAATTTTCAACGTAAACAAGTAAAAGACAGGTTATCTAAAACATAAATCAATTTTTTCGTAAAAAGAATCACATCTAAATGAATTCGTTTGTACTATATCAAAATATTAAAAAAAAAATAAGGTTTTATCCAAGAGAGTAAACTTGCTCTTAATATGTTCATTTGGTTGGACAAAATATACAGTATTACTTAGAGATCTGAGGCTTTTAGTTTAATGGTATCAAATGTTTGTAAAAGATACACCTCATCACCAATAAATCGAGTTTTCAAGTCTTGTTGTGGACGAAACACATAGGTTATGGATATATAAATTATTCTGACAAAAGTATTTGTCCATTAACATGAGTTACCAAAAAACAAGTTATCTCATGATTTGCATGCTTATTTTCACTATTATTAAAATGATTAATTTGCGATAAAGGTTTAAAAATTGATTCTTGGTGAAATATGAATCTCGAAACTTGCAATTCAAATGACCAACTCTTTTTGTGTATTTCAAACTTTAATTTTTATGGCTAAATACAAGAAATAACAATATACTTTATCAATTTGTTATTATAGTATTGTACCTTCATTTTGGTTGTAGTGTTGAAAATTTAAAACTTGAACAATGTCACATAAACAATTAAAATAAGAATGTCACCGAGTGTAGTGTTGAGACTTGAGAGACCATCATCTAACACCCAAAACAAACAATAACAACATCCTCGACAACAAACAAAGAGGTAATCAAACTTACACGTTGATGATGAACACCTTTGGCATATTTGAAATCGTTCCTTATCATGGTTTTTTTATTTTTTTTTTCATAAAAAATGGCAAACTACGATAACTTTCTTATACTTTGCCCTTTATAAAAATAATAAAACATCCATCTAACCCTTTGTAACTGGGAAGGGACCAAAAAGAAAACCAGCTATTCTAACATTTTGAAAAAATCATTAAATCAAAAATGGCCTTTATTATATATAAAATAAATATTAAGTACCATTGCTTTTTTGCAAAACTTGGCGAAACTATGACGGCTTTCTTTTCATTTTCCCAAATTTTCGTGACATCATATAAGAGGCAACCGGTGGCCAAACCAAAATTAAATAGATTGAAGATGTCTCTAGAATAGATCCAAGATACATCGACCTAATTTGACCAGATTAAGTATGATAAATGTCATCTACCCAGTCTCTCTCACTCAAAGGAAAGGTTACAAAAACAGATTACACATTTGACATCAAAACATAAATAAATAAATAATGCAAACTTGATTGATTATGTGACAAAATTGATAAAGCCAATGCTTCACAGTGTCATGTCTGAAACTACATTACACAATACATAAACTCTATAACGGATAAAACAAAATTATTCTCTTGAAAAATGGGACTCTGGGTATATATAAGCAAACACCAAACTATATTATATTACACTCGTAATATATCTCTATATTGTTTTTTTGCTGGTGATAAGTAAAATGTGGTTAAAAAACCAAACAAACAAACTGCAAGAATTAATTAATTATAGACTCAACTTGTGTGAAGAAGAGGTGAGAGCATTCATATGTTGAAGATGTAAAGCAGCCAAAAGTCCTTGCCATGTTTCTCCAGGTGCACCAGCTACATTGAAGTTTAAAAGCTTCTTTTGTTTCTTGTAGTATTCTTCCAAATCCAATGGCTTCTTCTGCAAATAAGATCATCAACATCAGCCAACATATATTAAAAAAAAAAAAAAAAAAAAAAAAAAAAAAAAAAGACTACAAGTTTCATGATGATATGATTCTTCATTGAGAGTTTACATAGATTGGTAAGAGTACCATTGAATTGCGCCCATTGACACTCAGAATATCTTGGTAAGAAGAAGCATATGCTTCATGTCCAACATCACCATGCTTCTTTTGCAGACAATCTTCTGTGCATTTGAAATTTAAGACCAAATCTATATCCGCAACTTCGTCAAGAATCTCCTGTTAACATAACAAGTAGAAAATTTTCAGCATTAACAACAACACACAGATTAGCAAAATCCAAACTTACAGCTTGCATTCTTGTTCGAGGAATTCCATCCAAAATGAACCCAGTTTCACCCCTGTAGAAACCTTCTTCCAACCTCTTTGATAGCAGACCAAAAATCACTTCCTCTGGCACAAGCTTGCCCTGATTCACAGCATCGGCAATCTAAATTGACAAAAACAGAGACGAGTAAACCTAACTGTCCAAGAAAAAAAGGTGATGACTAACTGGATTTCATGAAAACTACCAGTAAAATTGAATCGAAGCGAAACAATTTTTCAATCAATTTCCATAATTTGATCAAGCATAAATTACTAACGAAGAACAGATCTAGACAATCAAACAGGAGCTAATGTTCGATATGATTTTACGAAACGCCTAAAGGTAATTAAGCAAACCTGTTTATAAAGAGAAGAGCGAGGGTGGAGCTCTTGACGAACGAGGGTTCCCATGGAAATATGAGGTACTTTGAGGAGTTGTGATAACTTCTCCGCGTACATTTGCCTATTCGTCGATGGATCGCCCATTACAACCCACTGAACGCCCCTACCCGACACTGATCCCAGGGAGTCCTCCATCTCCGAGGGGCTCTCGTTGTAATCATAATCGTCATCGTAATCGTAATGAAGCTGAGCCGCCGATCCATAGAAATGGCGTTTGATCTGACCTAAGCGGAGTCGCGCAAGAGGAGCAGCAGCCACTCTCAGGCGACATACCATGGCCATGGCGGCTGATGAGGGTTTTACCAACGGACGGAAAATTCAGGGTTTTGAAGTGAAGGAAATAGGGCAACTGAAATGGGAAGACTAAAAAGCAAAAGGCAGGGAGATCACAGGACAAACTTAGTTTTAACTACACCCCTCAAGTTTTACGTAATTGTTAATATCACCATGTTTTCATATTTAATATCTTTCTAAAGAGAAATACAATGAAATCGTGAAAAAAAATTGAGTTTGTAGTAATTCAAAAAAATAAGATATAATACAAGGGTTAATATGGGTTTTTTTTACTTGATGTAGTCATTTTACTTGGTTGTAGAAAAAAATAAAAATAAAAATTACATTTCTTGATATGAGCACAAAATGTCATTAGAAAAAAATGGTATTGTTTCCAAAAAACTAATTTGAAATGACTAATGTCTAAAGTTTGAAGCCATTATTTTTAAGGTTTTGTAACCCATAAATTCTTAGATAAAGAACTCTAGCAATGTATAAATGCATTAACGATATGTAAAAATATACCCAAATTGACTTATAAGCTACAAGTAGTAGGCTTTTGTAATGAGAAAATATGTTTGCTTGGGTTAATTCTAAAATAAGAACAAAAGGATGATGAGATACATTTACAGATAGAATGTCAGCAAATGGAGTTTGAGAAACAACTTTTCATATGAGTAAACTTTATAAAAAGAAAATTTGTAAACTGTATAGAGGGTGAAGTGTAGTTTAAGAAAAGAGGAAGGTAGATGTGAAAATACCAAAACAAAAGGGAACAATAATGAAACTAAACCTTGGTTCTTAAAATAAACAAGCTAAGAAAAAGTCAATTGGCCTGCTTTTTGGTAGAAATGACACGTGGAAGTTGATGAGTGGTAGTCTTGTCTTAGCGGAATCCACACGCACAGGAAGTTGTGGTTCACACGAGCGACATCTGGATACCAATCAACGCGGACAACTAGACAACTAGATATTTGAGTCTAACATGTAAGCATCCGTCATGGTCATACTTTTATTTCTATTTCGACGAAGAGGGTAATTTAATTTAAAAATAATTTTTTGATTTTTAAATAAAAAAAAAATGCTTGATAATATAAAAAAGATTTTTAAAATAACTTCTTATTAATCTTTCAAAAATAAGATTTGAATAATTTATGATTTTCAACTTTTAAAACCTTATAATTTTTTTGGTTGTAAAAAACAATTACACCTTAAAATATATAACCGTTAAGACAAACACTTTTTAAAAAACAATTTACTGACTTGTTGATTTTTTTCACAATAAAAATTAATCCAAATATTTATATAAAAAAAATCATGTTCTTATCACCATAAGTCAATAAGTCTTTTTGTTTAAAAGTTATTTTGAAATTTAAAATGAATTCTCAAACACCCTCGAAAAGACAATGACTTATTTGTATATATTTATGTATTTAAGTTTTTCTTATATGTTTTTTTATCAACATATTTTTGAAATCCAAATTCGACCATGAGCTTGTCTTAATTTTGATGATAAAAAAGTTAATACATATCAACGGAAGGCAGACAGCCAACAAGCTGTGTCACTAGCCTTTTTTGGATGACAAAATTAATTCTTTTGAAAACACATGTGGATCTAAGAGAGATATATAACATTAGAATGCATGACCTGTTGGACTCTGTTGAGGAGCTACACCGTCTCTGGTGCGAGAAAACCAAAAGTATCAAATGCGAAATGTATAAACACATATTGATTTTCAATGCATGCATTCTTGTGCTTTGTCACTTTGCACGCGGCAGCTTTCAAAGTGGCATGCCCCGCTGTGAAACCCCCGCTCCTCAAACCGATGAGAGGGGAGACCCCAGTAAGATCCATACAAGCGTGCTTCCCTCCTACCCATCCAAAGACCAAAATATCAGTCGGCCTGTGTATGGATCTTCCATCCAGCGGGTCCGTCAAAAAGTTCATAGGCGCTTATTTCTTCACGGAAATACTAGCACGCCGACAAGCATCAAAGATAACATCCCTAACCACATCATGTCGGTACTTGAAACCAGGGAGTTCTTTACAATGAACTGCATGTTCCCCAAAGATGTCCAAACATGCCTTGCAGCAAACTGGGCATATCTCGTCAATCGGGAATAGAAGAATCATGAGGCGATAACAAAGGATAGTTCAGTATTCCACATGAGACATATGCTGGCCGAGGCCATCAATAGGGATAGTTAGCAGAAAATTCGAAGCATGAGGTGCCCGCAGACACTCAAAAACAACTTTTTGTCTAACAGTCATGTCCAAGTCAACTTTCATATCTTAGACGATTTTGCTAAAAAGGGCACACGCCAATGCCTTTTGGGATTTAGGGGGGATGTCCTTATTGGTGAAATCGCTACATTCGAATCCCATAATCATATCATGAAGACGAGTCAAAGCACAAAGGTAATCAAATTCCATACTGATAAAATATATTGGAATATTTAGAATAGATGTAAATATGTACTAGATTGGTTTGTATTTTGGAAGTTATCTTCTTTCCTATTAGTTTAGGATTTCTTGTAACAAACTATTGTATATATTCTGGTAATTGTATAGAACAGGCGACAAGGGGGATTAACCCTACTTTAATGGTATAAGAGCTACAGGCGGCAGATTCAATTCCTCACCACTTTCTGTCAAGCATCATATTCTTTTCATCTTATTTTCACGATGATTAGCTCTGCTGCATCGTCTTCTAATCCTTCTGTTATGTCTTCTTTCCATCCAGCCCTAGCCGTCTCCAACATCAAGACCCATATCTCCATTGTTCTTGAGATGGAAATGTGCACTATGCAACATGGGCAAAATTGTTCAAGATTCACTGTCGATCCCACCAGGTAATTGATCATATTATTACTCCAGATAATGCAAAGGTCCTAACAACTCCTAAAGAAAAAGAATTGTGGTCCACTTTAGATGCAACTATCCTACAGTGGATCCACGCCACTATTTCTAGTGATCTGTTGCACACCATCATTGAACCTGACTCGACTGCTATGAAAGCTTGGGATCGACTACATGATACCTTTCAAGATAATGAACACTCGCGAGCAGTCACTCTTGAGCATGAGTTTTCACACACCACTATGGCTGGTTTTCCTAATGCCTCTAAATATTGCTAACATTTGAAAATTCTATCGGATCAACTTAAGAATGTGGATGCACCGGTCTCCGAGAATAGACTTGTTCTTCAGATGGTATCCGACCTAACTGACGAATACAATGGTGTTGGTACCCTTATTCGTCAAAGCAAACCTCTCCCTCCTTTTTATCAGGCTCGTTCCATGCTAATTCTCGAAGAAGTTGGTCTCAATAAGAAACCGACTGTCACTGGAGCTGATATAGTCACTGTGACTTCCCCATTTTCACGGCCAGAAAAGACCGATTTTGTTTATGCTTTGTTTGAAAATTAGAGTAACATTTTAAATAAAAGTGTTACGGAATTTGTTCCCAAAATAAAATATGATAAAGATTTATCAAAGTATTTCCGAAGAAATGTATTTCATTAAAAACCTCGGGATGTCATGTTCGATACAGATCAAAAGCATAAACAGTAAAATATAACCCTTACAACATTTATTCATATCTACAGGCCTATAATCCGTAATCCCTCATCCAAAACATCACATCTATGCTCGAGTGTCACTACCTGTAATACAAGAAACTGAGTGGGTCAGACTTGGGAGCCTGGTGTGCACATATGGTTTTCAACCCACAATAAATAAGTTTATTAATTTCATCAACCAACAATAACCCGATTACCCGTTCCCGTTATCCCCACTTTACGTGTGACAACCCGTAATTTCTATCTAGTGAAAGTCAAACACGGTCAACTAAAGTCAAACATATCAAACAAAGGTCAAACTTATTTCTTTTATTATCTTAATATAGTTAGGGTAATGATTTTATAGGTGTATAAACCTAGTATTCTTAGGCGTTGTGTGTTAAATGAGGGAAGCAATTAGGACCGAGGACCTTCGCATGAGCTGCAAACCCTCGCAGCCGCAAACGAGCCTTCGAGCCGTGAACCTCCCTCGGACCGCAAACGAGCCTTCGGGCCGTGAACCTCCCTCGGACCGTAAACTCTATATATATATATATATATATATATATATATATATATATATATATATATATATATATATGTGTGTGTGTGTGTGTGTGTGTGTGTGTGTTTGACTGAATTTATCCTCACTTCTACATTTCTAGCCGCAAACTCAAGCCTTTTCTCTCAAAGTTTTCAACCGAAAACCCAAGTTTTCTCTCATCTATCATCCGAAGATCATCCAATCCACCTCCAGATCGTATTTAAGAACATCTAGTGTTCTTCTCTTCACAATCAATCACCCTTCATTTTTGAGTTTACGACCGTAAACACCTATATCTTCTTCATTTCACTAAGAAACACCAAGAACACACATTGAGTTCCAGCCGAAAACACTTGAATCTTCAAGGGCCGAAAACCCTTTGCGGCCGTGAACACCGAAGGTTGGCCGTGAACACCGAAGCCAGCCGTGAACTCCAAGCAGTTTCTTGATTTCGGTTCTAACACTTCTTTTGACTTGTTTTGTCTCGGGATCTAACTTGTGGAAACAATCATCCTAAATCGAGCATCCAAACGAATCACTTAGACAAGGTGAGTTCATACCCCTGTAATTTACCTTTTTAAATGCTTTTAGGGGGGATACAAGTAGAACACAATTTATATTGTGTTAACATTTACATGTGAAAACAAACAAACAAAGGATTACTTATTCTTATAAGTTGTTAAAATCATTTCAAAAACTCTTTTAAAATATTTTAGATTGTTGTTTATTATCAAAATCGTATTCGTTTATATATTTATGTATAAGTATGCTTTAACGGACTTAGGACTATTGCTAAATACCTTGACTCCTGTTCCTTGTTTGGTTGTGGGCTTAGGGTAGGATCACTAGTCCAACTGTAGGCTAAATCATAGTTATACTTGCTAAATATATACATGAATATTAAACTCCAGTTTCAAAGTACATACTTAACTCAGTTGCACACATTGGGCAAATGAGTTTTTTCTTCAAATCAGTAACAGTTCAAAC